TCTAGATATTCCAAACCCCTATTTTACCTCAGATTTGAGAATCACCAGAAACAACATCATGGCAGACACACAGATATATTAATAAACTAAGGGAACTCCAGACAATGAATATTTCACTTATTTAGGATGGAGTGTTCACACTACAAAATAACCTGCAGCTCCATTGTTTTATACAATCAATCTCTTTCTGAAGTTCAGGACACTGGGATGTTAATCCTTATACAAAAAAAAAAAAGCAATATCTGAAGGCATCTTTTCTGTGTTTTAATAAGTTCTCTGCAAATGCACAAACATTTCTGATGCCCTCAGATTAATATTATTTTCTCAATTAATTTAGTTGCAATCTCTTTAAGTTTAGTGCACTTTTGTGACTTGCCCTCCTTTCTGGCCTGTATCTCTAAAGAAAGGATTCTAATGAATTCCAAAAATTTGATTTCAGAAAGAAAAAAAAACATTTTTCTTTGGGTTCTTTTTCTTCTCCTCTTAAACATGGTATCAGTTAAAAGAAATGTTAAAAACCTGTCAAAATGCTGTAAATGCATTTTCTGTAGATCTGTCAGAGTTTCTGGCCCTCTTCAGGCTGGAAAAATACCACACCTGCAATTCCATGTGTACAAAAGAGTCCTTAAGAACTCCCTGGGGAGGCTTTAAATATCATATTAAGATCAATTTTAAAAAAGAAATCAGGGAAAAAAGCACTGTTAGAAGCTCTACTGAGTTCAAAGAAGGTCAGGAAGGAGTGTGCTGGCAGTGCCATATTTCTAAAATGACATTTTTGGTGCTATTTTGGTTGGTTTCATTCTGACCTGCTGGCAAACAAATACTCTGAATTCCTTAACTCAGTAAAGAAACAGGATGTGGGATGGAAGCTTCAGGTTTCTTGGAGTGCATGGAATTCATTCAACCAGGAAATAATCTGCTCCCCACTATTCCTGATTTCCAGGTAATCCCAAAGTTTTTCCATTATTTATTGGAGGACTTTCAAAAGCTGAGTAAAAATGTTTTATTTAAAGGGACATTCAGCATTTTGCATCACTATTTTCCAATAGCAATACATGCAAAATCCTGCAACCAGCATCCAAATGTTTGCTCAGACTAAAAGTTGGATTTTCTGTATTTGTCATCTTTTGAGAAGATTTTGATTTCCTCATTTTAGTGAATTAACCAAATTACAAGGAGAAGAAACAGAGACAAAATCCTGAATGACATTCAAGCACTCCCACTTCTAACAGGGGCTGTCCAAGGACATTAAATCACTTTTTTCTTTTCTATAACAGATACTTAATGGAGAGTTTTGAAATGGTTGTGTAGCTATGGCCAATTATAATGGCTTATTGAGAGAGTATTTGTTGCTTGTTTTTCTGTGTCTTGTTCTACTCTTGGGCTTTCTTTATATTTTTTGTCTCCAGCATGGTCTTTGTTATCTTTAGACTCACTGCAGATAAACTCACATCATGTTGCTGGTCCTGGTGGTTAATTAAGTCACAGTGTAATAAAAGATAACTCTAAAATTAATTTCAGTAGTGATTTATCCAGTGATTTACTATTTAGAGTTCTACAGTTACATGGATGGGATGCTGCACAGTCCTGTATTATTTGATGTAAAAGGGGAATTTTTAAAAGAGTAACAGGAAACTGATGTTGTCTTTCCTGTAATCATTCCTCTACTAGGGAAGAGGAATCTAGGAGTTGGAGGTGACAGTCTGAGTCCCAAAATTCAGAATATTCAGGAAAGCATAAGAACAGAGCAATCATATCCATTCCTCAGATACTCACCCAGCCTCAACCACTGGCAGCTCAGAATCCCTCTAAGCCAGAGACTGTCAGCAATAACAATTAATGATTTTCCATGACTTTATAGTCTCCCAGCAAGGGTCCATATAAGTTTAGTGAGATTTCCCAAAAACTGAAGTGCTGACTCTTACCAAGAGCAAAATGCCCAGCTTCTTACACACTCTGGAATAGCATATATTAATAATTATCATGGATATCTTTGTCTAGATATTCCAAAAAATTATTCACTTACTCTTACAGCAGCAAAACCACTTTTGCTGCTACACATGGACTAAGTGAAGCTTGAGTCGGTACAGAAGAGAAGCTGGAAAATCATTTTAGAATGGCACCAGAACACTTTCCATTCATATGTAAAAAATGAATTTATTTGCTCCTTACAATAGTCATTCACAGGACAGGATACAATTAAACTGCTGAGGAGCCTCAGTACTCACTGATCTCTTTGCACAGAACTAGGGCCAGATCCTGATATTCTTTTCCACACTGGAAAATATCTCCACAACCAACCTCACAATTGCCAAACGTGCACTCGTGGAGGCAGCAGTTCCCTGGATGTTGAATATCTTTGGATTCTGGGCCTCAGGATGAATTTTTTTATGTGCTGACAGACTTCAGCAGTGCACAGTAAGCTGATGGACTTCCAGAGACATTCATGGAGTTTATGAATTCAACCCTTTATGCAGTTGCAAATTAATTGTTCAGATAACTCAGAGGCTGCATTAAGTTAACAAGGTGAAACCCATCCATAATCCTGCCCCGCACTTGCCTTTGCCCAATGTTCTATTTGAAATGAGGACTCTAAAATCAGCTTCATTTTCAGCTGGAAGAGATTTTGCCACAGTTCAAACTCACACAAAGTACATTATTTTTAATCTGTTGCCTGCTACGTGCCACTGAGGAAAATCTGGGTATCGTGTCTTAAACTGCTATGCAAATGATGCTATTTGTAAGTATTAACATAATTTAGTGCTCACAGTCATATTCTCATTTCTAATAATTCTACCAGAATGGAGAGGCTTTTCACTGTACTCCTTGCCTGCAGGATAGTCTTTCATCAAGAAGCTGAATTTTTTAATAACCTGCCAGCACACATTTTGTGTGTGGCAGCCGACGCCGGTGACACGACGTCTTCATTATCAAAAGGAACGGGTCTCCCCACTGCAACAGGACATTAAAGCATTCCTGTGCCCACAAACTGCTGCTTTGATGTTGAAATGTGTATCATTACTACGGTGTTCCTTAACAAAGGAGGATTTCAATCCTCTGCTCTCAGTGGTGAGACTAGGTGGAGATGCAATTCATTGTATCCAAAAGGTCTCCTGTGCTACAAAAAGAGGGTAAACGAGGGAGGCAGGAAAAGGTGAACACACATACTCAAGATGTTCAAAATAGCAGCACTTTAGAGTCACAGAATCATGGAATGATCTGGGTTGGGAGGGGTCTTAAAGCTCATGTCATCCCACCCCAGGCCATGGGCAGGGACACCTTCCACTAGCCCAGGTTGCTCTGAGTTCATCCAACCTGGCCTTGGACACTTCCAGGGATCCAGGGGCAGCCACAGCTTCTCTGGGCAACAATTTGCCAAAGTTCACTCTAATATTGGGTTGGATTTCTGGAAGCTTTCCTGCTGACTCCAGGAAATTAGATGAAATTTATTATTCCATATGTATTTCCCAACTTCCAACGTAGGTTTATGTTTAAGGGGTTGATTCCTGGTTGCATCAAAGCTTAAGGTCACTGGAGTATAAAGGGAAACCAAAGAAAGGTTGGGATCACTGTGTCCTTTATGCAGAGTCACTTAGCCAGAAAAGAATTAAAAAGGCAATGGGAATACCAACACTAGGGAATGCCACTTATATTAGGAATTTACACCAGTAAAGAACTAGACTTGCTGAGTCCTGTCTTCTGCCATGACTCAGGAGGTGGGAGCAGGACCCGGATATACCATCAGCTTCATATCCCAGGCAATGCTCCCACTGGAATGGCTCTCCAGGGCTCTGCTTTATCCTGCCTGACTTGCAGAGAGTGAGGGATCTTCAGCAGATTAGAAATTAGCCCTTCAGCTTTATATCATAAACTCTGCTTTATAATGTGGAATTACTTTGCAGTTGTCAAATGCAGCAGAACTGTAATCAGCACAATTTGAAATTTTAATACACAATATAATTCAATCAACCCCAAATTTCAAAACAGTTTTGATGGAATTAAAAAAATCAGAAGAGCTATAATGAGTAGTTTATGTAAATTAAACAATTTTTCTGGATACATTCCTTCTGGCTTTAAAACCATTACATTAGGAATGAATTTGGCAAGATATACAGAAATATCAAATGCTTATTGAAATTAACACATTTAAATACCAATGAATATTTAAACTACAAATAGTTCTCTGAATGCCAGAACTAATGAAGGCTGGTTTCATACGGATTTTTCTGAGGTTGAAATGTATCATCTTCCAGCCTCTCAATCCTGGGGATTCTTAGGAATCTACAAGTGCCTGAGTTCATGCTATAATGTTTCCCTCAGTTAAATATTTATAGATCTCTCTCCTTACCTAAACACTCACGAAACTTGCAGGAGTCTAATGATCTCCAAGACCTCAAGTGTTCTGTCTCATACAGCTGAAAGTAACTGCCAGGTTTAAAAGTTATCAGTGAGGCAAAATGGACAGAAAAAACAGATTTAAAAATGCTCAGAAAAGCAGATTTAAAAACAATCGGTTTGTATGTGGCTTCAAATTAGTGTTGTTCAACTAAATCCAGCTCTTTGTTCCAATAATTCCAAATTTCTATGTTTCTATGATGAAAATGGATGGTGAACTATCCTAGTTTATCACATAGTCTTTTGATAGCATTTGCTACAGATATGTTTGTAGGACTGAGGTTATAAACCTACAATTTTAATTACAGATTTAATTGGCTCTGTTGTCTATATACTTTCATTTCTGTGTCCTCACTTTGGATAAAAACTGTGTAAAATGTGCCCATTGTTGCATAGGAATGAAGTGTTACAACACACAAGTTAGAATGCCAGTCATTCATTTATATTTTGGAATATTTAAGTGTTACCTATTGCTTTGTACAAGCCAGTCTGGATTGCAATAACCAACATTTACCTTAAAATGAAGGCCCAGAGAGGAAATTTAAGTGAGGAGGACCCTCAGTGGACCATTGACACAACAACCAAGATGCTCCTTTGTTACTTACACGTGCCTGGCTCCTACTCCACCCCTCAGGGCCGTGGCTCTGCCATTCCTTCTGGAGCCAGTGGCAGCATTCCAAGTGGGAAATCACATCACAATAGGCAGTGCCATTTCCTCCACGCTCCTCATTCATCTTCAACACCCAGCGTTGCACTTCCACGTTGTCCACGATGAGCTGGCTGAGGGCACGAATCAGCTGGGGAGCAACAACAGCACAAATGACAACATCAAACCCTTCCTCAGGCTCCCAGCTCTCAAACGTTTGGACTCAAAAGTTCATTTTCTAAATATGGTTTCATTTTCTAAACATGGTTTCACTTTCTCAGAGATGCCTGTGTTTGGACATGCAGCGAAAACAACCTTGGATGGTTTTTGGTGAAGGCTCCACGGCCTTCCTGCTGGAGTTGCATCCCTGTATTCTGCAGAGGGATTTGCCTGCCCAAGCTTCTTTGTCTGCTGAGGATCTGAGGTTTTGGATAATCAGAACTGCTCAATAAATGTTTGTGACAGGGAACAACACGGGATGGACGACACTATTTGCAAAATGGAGACAAAAATGTGCCAGAGTTTCCCACCAGCCAAAACAGCTGTGAAATTCTCCTACTGGAGAGTACATTACAAGGTTATAAATGTAGGAAGGAGTTACCAGGCAGGCTTTATAAAAATGCTAATTATTTATTTGTGTATGTACCCAGATTTAAATGGCTTTAAAATGCCTTTTGCCCAGCTGGTGCAGGATGCAATTAGCTTCTTAGAAGCTGCAAATGACTTTGAACCTGGTAAAAGTATTATCAGATCTTGGTGCATTGGCTACAGTCTTCTCCATTTTACATAGTAATTTGGGGGGGCTTTTGTTTCCTTCTTTTTTAGATTTAGATTTTTAAGATTGACCTAAAATACAATTACATGTGTTCCATTTGTAGCTTTTGAGAATCCCATAAATGTGTTTTTCTTGATGGCTCCCCTACAGTAATGAAAAGGATCAATAATACTGTAAAGACTGCACCAATCACAAAGAATTATGTGCTATCTTTAAGTGAAAATTGAATTGTGCTTTACCATAGTGTCACCTTGCTTTGATTATTTAACCTAAAATGTCAATATTTCATACAAGGAAACAACAGAAGTAAAACTTCCATAACCCTGTAGTGAGAACCAAAAGTCCTGTTAAATAATTTACGTGAATCAAATAAATCAAGCAGCTGTTTTTCAAGTCATTAATCATATATTTGTTTCATCTGCTATGGAAGCTGCAATGTGTTTGTGCAGCTTAGATTGTTCAGTGTTAAAGGTGATTAATGAAAAGCAAAGCAATGTGAAAAGCCTCTTGAAGAAGCAGGAATACCTACAAACCTTGGCAATGATTATTTTCCTGTAGGAGATGTAGCAACACCATGAAAGTGTTTTTAAAAGACCATACATAGACATATCATTGCAAATTGCAACATCAGCTTAAAAAATAAAATACTGAAGCACTGACTGCAAAATAAACATGGAAACACAGTACAGAAAAGTCTCGTGCCTTGTAATTTTAGTTTAGGGTTCTTTTGTTCTTTTCTTGCTGGTCATGCCAACAAGGTTGATGAATTTTAGCAATGATAGGTTGGGTACAAAGATGCTCAGCTGCAAAGGTGCTCAGTGAACCTCAATTTGAACAGCTGATTGCATGAGGGGAACAAATTTTCCCTTCATTTTCCCAGAAATCCTTGTTCTACCTTCAGTCTCTGGTAAAACTAATTCATTGAGGCCATAACTTCGCCCATGGAGCAGCAGCACAAACTTCTGAAATCACTGGACCAAACACACATATATTCTCAAGACACCATGAAGAATCCCAGAGGAATTGTATTCCCTGACTAGGGCACAAATTGCATTTCATTGGTCATTTAGAGGCAAGAAAAAACCCAACCTCACACAAGACTTGATCAGACCCAGCGAGGCTCCAATCAACAGATAAATTGTCCAGCTTTGCACCCCACCAAGCGCTCCCCACACCCCAGGGCACATCCTGCTTACCTGCTCCCTGCTGTGGATGTCAGATTCTCCAGGAGGGGTTGGCACACGAGCACTGGCAAAAATCCTTTTACTGCCAGACTTGGTGCTGTAGAGCTGAGCCACCTCTGGCCCCGGGCCCAGCACGGGCACGTCGAGCATGTCGGCCACCGCCAGGTCATCGGCGTGGGGAACTCCCCCGACCACGTAGGCATCCCTGCTCTGGATGAGAACCTGGATCCTCTGGATTGTCTTGGGACTGTACTTGAGCTGAGTGGCCAGGCACATGTGATGCTGCTGGAGAAAGAGAGCATCACTTGTTAAAAGGTGTTTTTCCCACCCCGTGAACCTGATTCCTGCCGTTGCCCACAATAAATCCATTATTAATAGCAGGTTGGGTTATGACCCATCCTGTAGCTTAGCAGTTTAAATTGATAAAAGCTGTTGGGGTGAGGCTCCATAATCGTGCACATCTTTAGTGTGTTGGAAATGGCCTCATTGGGAATAGAACTAATTACTCCACATCTGTATTTATTTGATCCATGTGGAATTATCCTTCTGTCAGTCGGCAGAGAGGCTGGTGGCCTTTGGATAATAGCGATTCATCTCAGCAACACTCCTGGCATGGTTTAACTCTAAAGCTCCTGAAAATCAATACAAAAATTAAGAACACCCCCACCCTCAACAGCAGGGAAAGTATTTCACATACAGTTCAGTGGTATTTTAAATGATTCCCTGAGAATAAAACACTTTGATTTACAAAAGCTTTCAGTGCTCACATTAAATTACTGGGGATATATATTTCCATTCCACTAATAACTAACCCTAACCAACTACAGAGGACTCGAGGAGAGAGGAGTAGTTTTGTGTTTGTTTAAAGTACAAGGGTTCCAACTTTTTGGAAGGAATTTTTCATTTCTCCTAAAAAAGAAGATCTATTGCTGAACAAGCTGCTTGTGACATATCCTATAACCTCTGAATTTAAACTAGACATTGGTCATGGCAGGTGAAGCCTCATAAATGTTTTCTATCTGCAGATATCCTAATTATCTTCCCAAAAATATAGAGGTGCACTGAGATAGAGACACAGAGGGATGGAAAAAGGGTACAAGAGAAATCCACATGTATGGATTGTCATAAACAACAGATTGTCATAAACAAAGCATAATCCTAACAAGAAGCAAATCATCTTCCCACTGAGATTTCATCCAATTTAGGCCTCAGTCAGGATAGTGTAAATCCTGGATTTTCTTGGGATTTCCAGGACTGGAGAATCCAGAATATTTTCCTTCCAAGTCCTGGATGTTCCTTCACAGGGACTGAAATATAAATCTTGATTCCTTCACTAGGATGGGGATGATGCTGGAAAATGAGATGGAGGAGCCCCTGGAAGTGGACAAAAGGAATCCCTTCTGTCTCTTCTCAGTGCTTTCTCAGAGCAAACACAGTTCCACAAAGTGCCCAAACCTCTGCAAAGGAGCAGACACTGCAAGGACAGGGAGGAGATCCGGCAGAGAAATGGGATACTCTCCAAAATTCCAGTAGGAAAAAGGGAACCACGGAAGTTTAAGGACATAAAGAACAACAAACAAGTTTCCTAAGCCTTTTCCTTTCCATGAGTTTTGTAACCAGGTTCTGATCCTTGTGTTTCCTGAGCACAGGGAGCTGCCCCATTCCATAGGTTCCATGGCAGAGTTGTGCCATGGAGAGAACAGGATCAATTCCCAGCCCCGGTCACTCCCTCCCTGGGGCCACGAGTGGGGATGGAGGGATGGGATTTGCTTTGTGTCTCTCAATAATGGATTTTACAGTTAATTAAGGAGTGCAGGAAACAGGCTGTAAAATCTGGTTCGTTCCTGCTTTGAGAGTATGGCTGCCATGATATATGGCAGTGGGAGGGAGAGCAGGGAAAAGCAGGACTGAGGAATCCTCAGAATTCCTGCAGGACCGCCCAGAACTGAGTCAGGAGATGAACCAAAGGGCTGGTTCTTGGTTATTGTTTTGTTTGAAACTCCTCAAGACCAGAGGAGCTGCCCTTGGCATCAGCCTCCCCACGAGGAGCAAAACCAGCACCATCCAGGTTTGATCCTCTGCTTGTGGAAAATCAGGACCATCTCTGTCTTTTCCACAGCTTTTCCTTCTATCCAGTCCCACCAAAACTGCTGGAAAACTAGAAAAGACTGATTTGTGCTTCTAAAAGAAGCCTGATAAAGTGGCCTTCAAGCCACACTTGCATTTATTAGGTACAAATGTAGATACATTAAGTGCAACAAAAGCTTTTTATTAAATAACCCAGAGGAAAGATCCTTAACAAGAACTTATAAAGCTCAAACTCTTACCCAGCCAAAACTAGCAGAGAAGCCAAGGATCAGTTCTGAGCACAGATTCCTCTCCACACAGAAGATTTATCCCTTGGACACATCAGTTATAAGAAGGTAAAGAACACATGGTTCATGAAAACAAGCTAATTTGAGGATTTTGTGTATAAACTAAAGAGCCAAGGGTGAACCTCAGCCTGATATCACCCAAAACCTGGGATGGTCCATCTTCCCTGACAGAATTTGCCACTAATACACTAATATTTGGTAGTTAGTACTGGAAAATAACTCTGTATCCAGAGAAAAAACAGCTACAGTTGTTAAAATGCAATTTAAAAAGAAAAAAAATATTAAAAACAGCAGTAGGGCTCCAAGCAAGGACCCTAAATGTGCCACAAAGTTTCACAAAAATCAAATCCCAGCTAAGACACTGTAGATTTAATATTTACAATATAAAACTACTCACTGTAAAAAGTCTTCACTGCACTGCAGCATTTTTACAAACACTGTACACAGTGTACATTAATTAAGGTCTCTTTTTAGATCATGTTTTAGCACATGGATTGAAACCTGAATTGACAGGTTTGGAACTAAGATTTCTGTATTATTATTTATTATTATTCTAGAACCCTTATTTCTGTATTATTGGAACTAATATTTCTGTATTACTATTTTTCTGGAACCATGATTTCTGTATTATTGGAACTAATATTTCTGTATTATTCTGTTCTGTTCCAAACCAATATTTCCGTATTATCACCTAACTTGTTTTAAGTTCTGTTCTTTAAGGAGCTCTGCACCGGATTTAATTGCAAGAAACAGTGCAAACACAGCAATGATTGAATGCTGGGCTACCCAGAGATAAAGTTTGAGTAATAAGAATGGTTTATTGCTATGATTTGCTTAGAGATATAAATCTATCAACTTCCCAGTCCCAAGCATACAGTCAGGAGGGACAGCAGCCTACAAATAGCCAATATAGGACTATCTCAACCAAGCCTATAAAGCTAAACCAGGATATTTATTTCCAATGCTCTAACTAGTAGTCTAATCAGTAAAGCCCTTAAACTTGCAATAATATTTCACTGATGTGTACCAGAGCGTTGCAAGTTATAAAATTTCCAATTTAATTTTACTGCATCCCTCAAGCCGTAGTAATTAGGAGACAAACTCACGGGGAAGCTGTTTATGGCTTCGGGGGTGAGAATCCTGAACCTGTCCTGCAGGTCACCCATGGCCTCGGGGTTCCCAGATCTAACAGCTGCCTGCAGACCCAGGAGTTTATTGTAATACTGCAGCAACTCCTCACTCAGAGGAAGGGGGCAGATGTAGATGACGTCCACGTTGGCATCTGAAACAAAGGGGCACAGTGTTCGTTACTGGGAGAAAGGTGAACCCCGTTCCCGACACAATCCGATAATTCCTGACGGTTTGCTAACAAACAGCTTCCTGAAAAGAGCACTGGGAATAAAAACGGGGGCTAATTCCCAAATCTTAGTGCTTTAAGTGCATTTCTCTGAAGAGAAGACAGGTCAGCAACCCAAGGAAGGGGCTGCTTTTCAGGATTCAATCTGCAGCACAGATTAGGGGCAGGATTTGGGAAGAGTTGCAGGGGGATTTCTCTGCCCGACTCATACGAACCTCAGTGGGAATTGAGCTGCTTTAAAAATATACCCCATTAACAGCAGTAAATTATAAAACTGAGCTCTCCAGTTTAGAAAGCTGGTGAAATTGCAATTTCCTAATGCTGCCTGGATTTTCCGGGGCCTGTTCCTATTCCTGTCCCCAGAAAAGCTCACGGTGGGAAATCATTAATAACTATTGCTGAGCGTGTGAATGTGCAGATCAGTTAAACACCACGGTGTGGAAATCTGCTTTTCTGCCTGGAAAACAGCTCGGGCTGAAAGACACTTAGAGGTGAGAAAACCTTTAATAGATGCTGTTTTAGAAAATTTTAACTGCTCTGCTCTGCTAAAATATTCATGTTAATAGATGAGCTAATGAATGAATGGGCCTTGTAACATCAGTAGAATACACTGCAAAGAGCACTCCCAGATTGTGATCCAAAGCAGTGGGAAGTCTTTCATTGTTTTACTATGCACAGGAGCCTGGGAAGTGCCAGGGAAAACTGCTATTCCACGGGAATGAATCAGCAGCAAAGCAGGGATTGGATAAGGAAAGCCTGAGCCTTATGTTGGAAAGGAATAAGAGACCCCATTCATTCTCTTAGTTTTGCTACAGAGCTGCAGGAAAACAATCCACGTCAAAAAGTAAGGCCAGAACCTCAACTGAGGTATTAAAAGTAGTACAGAGCCCACAATCACTCTTTATATAATCCAGTTCATTACCAGATAACTTTTAAAAATCATTAAAAGAACTGTTCATCAGTCAGTACTCTCTTGCTTTTAGGCATTTCCTCATTTCATTGCACAATGAGTCTGAAAATTTACCAGCCAGGGCCCAAAATAGTTGCCAAGGAGGGCTGTGATGCTGAAGGCACTGTCAAAAATGGACAAACTCCAGTGAATTTGGTGAATAAAATGCTGCAACACATTTTACTACTCTCAGCACTGCCCTATAAAGAGAGGTACAAGTCTCCTTTGGACACAGTGGGGCTCCAGGGACAGATTAACTCCCAACCAGCAAGGAAATCCTCCAGTTTTCCAAAGAAAAAGAGAACCAAAGTGGGAAATCTCAGGGCTCCTCTGCCAGGCACAGGTAAAGCATCTGATTTAGATAATAATTTAGTTAATATTTCACTGCTTCCTATCTTCCTCATGGTCTGATTTACAGTAGAACCAATTTTCATGTTCACACGTGAGAAAAAAAATGTGTGACTTTGTCCCTTTAAGTTTCTACCATTTTATGGCCAAAAATCCTTTATGTTAAAAAAAAAAAACCACCAAAAACCCCCCAAAACTGTACTGTGGAAAAAACCAATATTAGTGCCTAGATAATATATAAAGGCAATTACATTATTATTTTAGGCAACTGTAAATTTCTAATATATTTTGGTTACAAACTTCCTAAATGGCATTTATAAAATAATAATGATACTGAAATATATATGAATCATGCAAAGTATGTCATTCCAGGGAG